CATAACTATGAACTTCACTCCTTGCAGGTCTCAATCCGTAAACCTCCAGGGACTTAAGTGTGTGCATTAGTAGTAATGCCTGACCTCATACATTTCTCTATATGCCACCAAGCCATCTAATACAGGCCACAAAGATTGTCAACTCCAGCATCCTGCTGCATGCCTGCTAACCCACCGCCTTGCACTTCCCCAGCAGCCCTATGGCAGCCAAACGGCGTGTTACGGCCCCCCCCCTTAGCAACTGGACTAGTTACTCCTGAGCCCCGTAGCGACCCAGTAGCGACCCCGTAGCGACCCCGTAGCGACCCAGTAGCGACCCCGTAGCGACCCAGTAGCGACCCCGTAGCGACCCCGTAGCGACCCAGTAGCGACCCAGTAGCGGCCCAGTGCTCCCACACGAGCTACTGCCCCGCCACTGGGCCGCTACTGCCCCGCTACTGGGTCGCAACCCGTCTCCTGAGTAACTAGTCCAGTTGCTAGGGGGGGGCCATAACATGTCGTTTGGCTGCCATAGGGGTAGGGATGTACGCGTGGATTCATAATTTTACATATACACGTCGCCTAGCAGCAGCTACATGCATACGAAATTCCCAAGTCCTGCTTTGTAACAACATCAAGCCATATGCATTGCCTGCTTCAGCTGAAGCAGCTGCTGCAGCTGCAGCTTCCAAACAATCTGCAGCTTCCAAACAGCACCAAACATTTCCACAACAGCGGCTGCTGCAGCTGCAGCTCATTGATCTGTCAACAATTTGCCTCAAAACATGCTACATTATAGCTCAGAAGCGCTCTATCCACCCTTACACTTTCTGGTATTCATGCCTAGAAGAAGTCCTCCATCACAGTCAGTTAACACTCCGAGACAAGTCTGTACAGTGACTGTACAGTGCAGCAGCGCTGCTGCTAGCAGTAGCTTCTCCACAAGCGGCTTGTGAGCCTGTATGCACCAGCTGCTGCAGCAGAAGCTTCGAAACAGCTCCAAACAGTTTCATATTGGGTGCACCCAGCTGCAGCTCATCCATCTCTCAACAAAATTTGCCTCAAAACATGCTACATCATAGGTCACATGCACTATCCACCCTAACACCTTCTGGTAGTCATGCCTAGTATCAGTCCTCTATCGCTGTTAGTTAACACTACAAGACATTGCTGCAGCAGCAGTCCTCCACAAGCAGCTTGTGAGCCTGTATGCAGCAAAGATCAGGCAGGGGCATACAATAGCACCTTTGTCAGACCATCAAGAACTGCAATGACTGTGATGTGGAACTTAGAATGCAGTTTTATGCCACACACCTTACTACTGCTTTAACCCTCCACTGACTCTGCATGCTGATGTGTGGTGGGGAAAGCATGTGGTGTTGTCCACAGCAGCTGCAGGTTGCTGGGTGGGCCCTGTAGACAGACAAACATGCCCATCAGAAGTTAAATACACCAAACCCAATAGGAGACTCCATACAGAATATATGCAGCAAGAGGTAATTTGACACAAAATCCAAAAACTGCAGTTGCCCTTGTTTGCTTGCACATGAATGACAATTACCCCCCCTCAAAATCAGAGTGATGAACATAACTGTGTAGATACCTGTAGTCACAGCTATCACCTCCCAAGCAGAAAAAGCATGCCCGGGAATCGAACTCAGGTCGGAACTAGGATACTTGCCTAAAACCAACCCAATCTACTAGACGCGGGCTGCTTCGCCCGCGAGGGGGCCGTAGTCCCCCGGCTGGGCGGCACGAGTACGACGGTCCGTGCGTGTAGTACTACACCCGTGTGGGAGTCGAACCCACAAGTGCAAGGGATGCACCCAGCCGTGCAGGCGTGTCGTCGGACGGCTAGAGAGCCGCGCAACGCCGGCATTTAACGCCATCCAGTGGCGAGGCAGACAGACGAAGTGTTGGACGTGTCAGGTGGTGTTGGCTGCGGAGGTCCAACGCTCCTCAAGGTTTCTGGCGTGTTTGTACTCGGTGGTATAGCGTTCACGGGTTTCGGTTGCACGGCGACCCAGGAGGCGGAGTTCGGCCGCCAGGTCGGGGTCCAGCTTGGTTGCTGCCATGAACTGTTTGACGACTCGTGCTCGTTCGTCGGGTGTGGTAGAGAGCGGGCGCAGGAGGCGGATGTGGTCGAGTGTTTTGTAGCGGGTGAGCAACACGTACATGGTTGCACGCTTGAGGCCACCGGGCGGGACGGAAAGGTCCGCGACCCAGCATTCTTCCTTGAAGCTACGGCCCTGTACGAAGTAGTCGGTGACGGTGTAGTAGTCACCAAGCGGTACATTGACTTGACGTACATTTTTGGTGGCGGTGCCGGTGTTGGCGGCTGGCATGGTGATGTTTGCTGCCGGCGAGGGCTGTGGTACGATGGCGAAGGCAGCACCTTTGGCTGCGAAGTCCGCTAAGTCTGCTAGCACCGCTTTGGGCGCGTGCCCTTTAATGGGACGGACCAAGACGGCTGCAGGTAGGTAGTGGAGGCGCCAGTACGGGCCGCGGCCGTCGTCGGGCGGTTCACGGCTGTCGGTAAGCAGGCCACACGCCTCGACTTCATTGTTGTGGCACGCGCCAGCGTCGGCAGCAGTGGTGTCGAGTAGGGTGTAGCGTGCACCCTCGTAGTACCAAGTGTCGGCGGTGGTGTGGTCGAAGGTGGCGTCTTTTACTCGCATTGCGACAGCCTTTTCGACGTGGGAGAGCGGCTGTTGTTGGGTTGCGCCATGTTGCCTAACCGGGACGTGGTCCGCGTTCCAGCTGACCAAACGCGCTCCTTTGCGGCGCGCCTGGAGCATCAGGAGGCGTGTGTTGAGCGCGTGCCTGGGTTCGTTCCGTTGCAGCACGACACGGGGTTCGAGGTCTGTGAGATCGGACAAATCTGTGATGACGCGTTGGTTGAGTGCGTCTACTAGATCTGCAACACGTGCTTCAGTGGGTTGAATGCCGCCGAACATGGTTGCGAAGCGGGTAAGCTGCTGGCCAGATGGGCTGTTGTCTTGCCGCTGCTGTTTCTGCAGCATGAATACGGTGCCGCTGAGCTGACGGTACAGGTTGAAGCCGTCGTGTAGGCGGGTGTGCGTTTGTGGCACGGGGCGATGAGTGCGACGTGTGGAGGTGGTGGCGCGACGGTTGCCGGTGTCGTCATCGGCATCAGTGCCGTCATTGTTGCTGCCGTCAGCATGGTCACCTCCACGTTCGTCAACCGAGGCCGGCCGGCACTGTGCTGACGGTGCCGAGGGACTGAACTGGGGGTTTTGTTCGACATTGGCGGCGTAGCGGTATGGCGGCGACCCGCCTGGCTGAGGATGCTGCAGCAGGTCGCCGATTCCGCCAGCAACGCGACCGGACAAGACACGGCTGCTGGGATGGGCGGGTCCAAGGTGTGGTGGAGGCGGCACATTGGCTGTACAGGAGTGGCTGATGGCGCCGAGGTGCTCGTGGCTTTGCATGCCAATTTCGTCGATGAGGACGGCCCCATCACCGACGTTGCGCTTGACCTGAAGGCCGGCGTGGGCGCCGCGCTTGGGAAGGTTGGCGCCACGGGAGCCGCTTTGACTGGCTGAGATGCCGAACATGGAGTGGGTCGATAGGCTGCGGTGTACTGGGGTGTTGAAGGCGATCGCGGCAGCCCAGGAGTATGCACATGTGGCGGCCCAGTCGGGACTGTCATGCTGATACGTGTACCACAGTAGAGCGTGTACGAACTGAGTCTTGCCCGTGCCCGGAGGACCCATGATGAGCATCTGCGGCGGGACGCCTGGATCAGGTTCGTTGCGGCGGTCGAAATAACGTGCCATGAGCATGAATGGTACGGCCTGATCCGGCGCCAGGGTAAAGAGCTCGATGGTGTCGTCGATGCTCGGTGGCTGTGGTAGACGTAGGTAAGTTGGCATTCCCGCTGTGATATGGTTGGTTTGCTGGGTGTCGGTCACGATGACCGCTACGAGGGGGTAGCCGGGGTGGCGATCCAAACGAAGATGGGGGGTGTGGTCCGTCATGGTCGGCATGGTGGCGGTGCCTTCGGAGATGACTAGGTAGCGCTTCAGGCGCTTGGAAGCCTCGCTCAGCAGCGGGATGTCAGTGGTGCGTACACGGCGGATGAAGGGGTTGGTGTTGGCACCGAGGGCATTGGGAAGAGGAAGTACACGGCAACGCCGAGCTGCACCGTATGCGTACAGGCCCTCCACTGTGGTGCGGTCATACAGGTCCGTCAGGGCGACATCGGACAGGTTGATTCCGGGGATCCTC